CCTGGACCATGGAACATGGAGAGAGAGAGAGGAGGGAGAAAAGAAGATGAGGGTCAGCCAGTGACTTGGAGCATGGCCCTCTCTGATCAAAGGAACAGTGACAGGACAAATCTGCCTGCAGTCACATACATGGGACACCCTGGGCCATGACAGCATTGCTGGGAGGTCATAACTTCCTCAAATGACAGAGGATGGGCACAGTCTTGGGGCTCCAAGGGTAAGCTGAGGCGGGAGGTTTTTGTACCACTTCCCCATTGCTCTGTATCACAGTGCAGCAGTACTGCTGCTGTCATAGCCACCACAGTAATAGTCAGCCTCGTCCTCGGCTTGGACCCCAGTGATGGTTAACGTGGCCGTGGAGCCGGACTTGGATCCGGAGAATCGCGAAGGGATGCCCGAGGGTCTCTTGTCATTGCTGTAGATCACAGTGACAGGGGCAGTGCCAGGGACCTTCTGCTGGTACCAGCCATAGCTGTAGCTGCTACCAGAGCAGGTGATCCTGATGGTTTCGCCGACCTTGGCCGATATCTCGGATGGCTGAGTCAGCGCTGCCTGGACCAGGGAACCTGGAGAGGGAGAGAAGAGAGGGGAGAAGACGGGGTCAGTCAGTGTCCCAGGAGCACAGGCCTGCCTGGGCAGCAGAGTGGGGTCCCTGTGCCCAAAGGCCCAGCGAAGGCACAGCCAGTGAGTCTGGCCATGGCACCTGTGCTGTGGGCGAGCACCACGAAGAGAAGAGGGGCCCAGGCCATGGTTCAGTCCCACCGGCTCAGCGTCCCCAGAATGATGGGGCTGTGCCGTGGACCCTGACTCCCTTTTAAGCCCCCGCCCGCCCAGGACACGTCCCTTCCATGCAAATCTGACCCTGCGGTCACGGCCGGATCCTGCCCGCGCCTCTCTCCGCACATCCCTCCCTGCTCCACCCTCAGCCCCACCACCCCAGATGTAGCAGAGCTTGTCCCCAGACACAAAGTGGAGACACCCCCCAGCTCTGAGCCTGAAACCCACCAGCATTGACCCCCCTGTCCCCACACCAGGCTGAACAGCTGCAGTGCCTAAAAAGGGAGAGCTGGGCACTGTGGCAAGGGCAAACAGAAGTATCTGCCTCTCCCAGTGATGGGACTGGAACGATGCCAAGCTCTACCATTCCCCAACTCATTTTTGGCATTTTTCCCTCCCACAGGTGTTCCAGACCTGTAAAGTACCCCCTTGATCTCCTGCTTTGGTGCCCGAGCCCTTCCTCTGACAGCTTAGATCCACCACTCAAGACCAAGACCTTTGCTCTTCCCAGGCATTCACACCCCAGAACAGTGGGAGTGGGCCAGCACTGAGCCCCAGGGTCCAACAATGCCTCCCCATTATCTGATCATGAGGCCAGTGTGCTGGTGCTCAGCAGACAGAGCTGGGGCAGCTCCTGGTCAGTCCTACTCCAACTCAGGGCACAGGGATCATGGCTGTCTCTAGCAGTCTCAACCCAGACAAAGAGTGGCTGCATCACAGGAAATTCCCTCTCCCCCAGGATCCTCCCTGTCCCCAACTATGCTGTCCCCAGGGTGCCCAGGGCACCAGGAGCCTGGCTGGCATGGGCAGGGCAGGGCTGTCTCCCTGTGAGCAGCACAGAGGGGACCTGCTGGAGCACAGCATGTCCCCCATAGCAGGAACTGCCACACAGGCACAGATGCTGCTCCATGTTGTGCCTGGGCAGCTGCAGGCACCACCCAAGGGTGTCCCACTGGGACAACAGCGAGCCTGTGTCTCCCTTTTCCCGTGCTGGGAGTTACCATGGTTCTGGTCACCACTGGTGTCCCAGCCAGAAGAGTTAGAGCCTCCCGCTTCTCCTCCTCCTCTGCTTTGACCCAGCCATGGGTAATGTGGCCATGGAGGTGAATGTGTTTCCAAGTGCTACATATCCCCTCCCAAAGTGCCAGGGAACAGGCAGGGACCTGGGGCTTTAAGGGAGTGCCAGGCTGAGACACCAGGCACAGCCACATTCAGTGCAGGGCAGCAAGGGCAGGGCCATGGTGAGGGCCTGAGCCTCCATCAAGCAGGCACAGCAGAGACTCCTGACTGATATCTGCAATAGCAGGAGGTTCTTGCATCACTTCCCCAATTGCTGCATGCCACTGTCTAAGCACTGCTGCTGCTGTCCTCACCACCACAGAAATAGACAGCCTCGTCCTCGGCTTGGACCCCAGTGATGGTTAACGTGTTCGAGGAGCCGGATGTGGATGCGGAGAATCGCGAAGGGATGCCCGAGGGTCTGCTGTCATCAGCATAGATCACGGTGACCGGGGCAGTGCCAGGGACCTTCTGCTGGTACCAGCCATAAGCATTGTTGCTGCCCCTGCAGCAGATCAAGGTGTTTTGCTGCAGAGACATGGACACTGGGGACAGCTAAGCCAGAGCCATGTGAGAGCCAGGGCTGAGGCAGAAGCTCTCCATGCCCAGCCAGAGCACCCAGGGGTGGCAAATGCCCACACGCCCAGTCCTGAGCTGCCAGGGCAGCTGCAATGCTGCCAGGCCCTGGGCAGGACTCAGACTGTGGAGCAGGTATGTGGCAAAGGTGTTTTTGGGCAGCTCCACTGTCTGCAGCTCCTAACATTGTCCCAGGCTCCTCTGCCCCTCGCATGGCTATTGGGCAGTGAGGATGAGTCCAGGTCAGGGCTTCTGCAGCACCAGGGCCCAGCCACTGGGAACACAGTCATAGAATCATGGAACGGTTTGAGTTGGAAGGGACATTAAATATCATCAACACTCCTGCCTTGGGCAGGGACACCTTTCACTAGACTAGATTGCTCAAAGCCTCATCCAACCTTGCCTTGAACACTTCCAGGGATAGGTCATCTACAAGTTCTCTGGGAAACCAGCTCCAGTGCCACATCATGCTCAGAGTCACAGCCCTGAGACCTGGAACACACAGGGAAGGGAATAGAAAAGTCCCAAAGCTGGAGAGGTGGTCATGCCTGGTGGAGTGGAATGAGGCACCAAAACCAGGCTTTTTGATACTCAAGATCTTGCTTGCCTGTGGGACAGGTGTCACCATGAGATCAGCACTGCTGCTGCCAAAGCTACCACAGTAGTAGACAGCCTTGCCCTCAGCTTGAACACCAGTGACCTTCTGGAGCCAGACACAAAAACAGAGAATCGTGAAGGAATGTCTGAGGATCTTAGGTCATCCCAGTAGATCACAGTGACAGGGGCATTGCCAGAGACCTTCTGCTGGTACCAGCCATAGCCACTGTTGCTCCCAGAGTGTATAGCCCAGACAGTTTGTCCCAGGTTGGTGGCACCAAGGATGACTGACTGGACCAGGAAGCCTGGAGAAGGAGAGGTGAAAGGCAATAGGAGGGTGTGAGCCATTGCCCTGGGAGCACATCCTTGCCCAGGTACCTCCTGTACCCATGGTCCTCATGCCACAGTGGGACAACCTCAAGACAGAGAAGAAGATTAGTGACCCATGGCCCTGGAAGGAGCACTGGCAGCAGCAGAGCAGTAGAAGATCACCCTCTGAGGGCAAGGGACCTGGTCATGGGTACAGAAACATGGGGGAATCAGGGCCCAGCCTGGCCCAGGGAAATGCAGTAGAGGCAACTTCAGCAGCAGCAGCAGCAGCAGGAGGGAGCAGCCTGAAGCAAAAGGCAACAGGGCTGGGAATGAGGCAGTGCCATTCCTATTATGGGGGACAAGGACAAGAGTCCCCTCCTGTGCCTTGTCATGCACATTCATGTCCTTAGGCAGGGGACAGGAACCTGCCTTAACTCCATTATCACAGCTTTGTTTGTCCATGAGAAAAAATGGCTCAAAAGCTTCTTCTCTTGACATTAGCTTCTGTGTCTCACTTCCCCATTACTCACTGGCTTCATCATCCCCACCAGTACCGCTGCTGTCCCAGCTACCACAGTAATAGACAGCCTCGTCCTTGGCTTGGACCCCAGTGATGGTTAACGTGTTTGTGGAGCCGGACAAGGATCCGGAGAATCGCGAAGGGATGCCCGAGGGTCTGCTGTTACTGCCATAGATCAGAGTGACACAGCCCCAGGCACCCCAGCACAGAGGCAGCAGGAGGAGGACATGGTCATCAGTAGCAAGATGTGATGGGTTGGGGAACAAAGCCACACTGATCTTTGTAAGAACAAGGACAATGACCTTCAGACATGGTGGAGAACAAGAGAACCTCCAGTTCTGTGGGACAGCAGAAGAAGGGCATTTGTAGTCATTGCTGTACAGAGGGGACAGGAACCTACCCCAGAGCTAGCCAAGAGGGTAAAGGGCTGAAATATTTTCTTTCATTTTGGAATTTGGAAATCCTTGGAATTCTCACTTCCTACATCTTGTTGCCACTATACACCATAGCCACCACTGCTGCTGTCCCAGTTACCACAGAAATAGACAGCCTCGTCCTCGGCTTGGACCCCAGTGATGGTTAACGTGCCCCCAGAGCCGGAGAATCGCGAAGGGATGCCCGAGGGTCTGTTGGTATTATCGTAGATCACAGTGACAGGGCCACTGCCAGGGACCTTCTGCTGGAACCAGCCATACCAGTTGCTGCTAGCTCCAGAGCAGGTGATCCTGACCGTGTCTCCCACATTGGCTGACATTGAGGATGGCTGAGTCACTGCTGCCTGGAGCAGGAGAGGGAGAGGAGAAAGGGGAGAAGAGGAGATGAGTCAGTGCCCAAGGAGAGCAGACCTGCCTGGGGAGGAGGTTTACAGGGAATGCCATAGTCAGAGAAGAATGAACCCAGACACAGGCACCAACATATTTAAGGAGTAGAGCCCAGGCCAAGGCATCTGAGCAGAAGGTGGACATGGTTGTCACTAGCAAGAGGCAGTGAGGTGTGGAACACAGCTATACCATGAGTTTTGTTGAGGTGAGGACAATGGTCCCCAGCCTCCTGTTCAATAAAAAAAAATAGTATCATAGCTATGCTCTTGCAGAAGAGACATGTACCTGCCCCAGCCCCACATCCACAACTCTGCTTGGCCATGAGAAGGACTGAAAATCTATGCTTTTATTTTCTCTGTCTTTGTAACTTCACCAGCATAGCTGCTGCTGTCCTGGCCACCACAGAAATAGACAGCCTCGTCCTCGGCTTGGACCCCAGTGATGGTTAACGTGGCCGTGGAGCCGGAGGCAGATCCGGAGAATCGCGAAGGGATGCCCGAGGGTCTGTTGGTATCCCGATAGATCACAGTGACAGGGGCAGTGCCAGGGACCTTCTGCTGGTACCAGCCATAATAGTTGCTGCTACCCCCAGAGCAGGTGATCCTGACAGTGTCTCCCACCTTGGCTGACATCTCGGGTGGCTGCTGAGTCAGTGCCGCCTGGACCAGGGAACCTGGAGAGGGAGAGAAGAGAGGGGAGAAGAAAGAGATCAATCTGCACCCCAGGAACACAGCTTTCCTAGAGCAGCAGGATGTGCCCTGCATGCAGAAGCCCTGTCCAGGCACAGTGAGTTTGGCCATGGCACCTGAGCTGTAGGTGAACACTGTGAGGAGGGGAGGGGCCTAGGCCATGGTGTAATACCACCAGCTCCATGTCCTCATCCTTGTTTGGGCTGTGCTGTGGTCCTTGTCTAGCTTTTAAGCCACCACATGTCTGGGTCATGGCTCCTCCATGAAATCAAGACTCCATTCACAAGGCAGGAACCTGCCAATATATCTTTCCCCAGCACCCACTCAGCTCACTCATTAGAGGATACTTCCCATACCACATTTCAACTGCTGAGAAAAACTGCCAGATTTATGATGAGTTACACCTGACATGGTGATGGCCAAATGTCCAAATGGCAGAACAGGGTGTTGGTCCCACCAGGGATCCCTAAACCCAAGGGCCTCTGATGCACTATCAATCTGCATAACCATTCCTGTAAACTGCAGTTCTCAAACCTCAGTCATTCCTCAGAAACAGCATCCCCCAGCATCCACGGTCAACAACAACCATCCTGCAGGGGGCTTCAATCCTGACCAACACTGCTGTCCCAGCTACCACAGAAATAGACAGCCTCGTCCTCGGCTTGGACCCCAGTGATGGTTAACGTGCCCCCAGAGCCGGAGAATCGCGAAGGGATGTCCGAGGGTCTCTTGTCAGTGCTGTAGATCACGATGACAGGGGCAGTGCCAGGGACCTTCTGCTGATACCAGCCATAGCCATAGTAGCTGCTACCGCCAGAGCAGGAGATCCTGACAGTCTCTTCCATACTGGCTGGCAGCAAGGATGGTTGCTGACTCAGTGCTGCCTGGACCAGGGAATGTGGAAGAGGAGAGAAGAGAGAGGAGAAGAGCGGAGCCAGTCAGTGTCCCAAGAGCACAGACCTGCCTGGACAAGGTTACAGGGAATGGAACAGTCCTGGACAGAACACACAGGGACATGGTTACAAGCACATTCCAGGAGCAGATCCCAGCCCATTGCAAATGGCTGCAGAGAAACAGCTTTGGCAGCATAGGAGCACAAGGACATCTGTAGCAAGAGGCTGTGGGGGACACAGCTACACCAAGAGCTGCCAGGAGGGAGAAGGGCCAAAATCTTTCCTCTGCATTTGGAGTCTCAGTCACTTTCTGTTACTCATGGTCACCACACACCATAGCTGCCACTGCTGCTGTCATAGCTACCACAGAAATAGACAGCCTCGTCCTCGGCTTGGACCCCAGTGATGGTTAACGTGCCCGTGGAGCCGGATCTGGATCCGGAGAATCGCGAAGGGATGCCCGAGGGTCTCTGGTTATTGTTGTAGATCACAGTGACAGGGGCAGTGCCAGGGACCTTCTGCTGGAACCAGCCATAGCTGTAGCTGCTACCAGAGCAGGTGATCCCGACCGTGTCTCTCATCTTGGCTGTAATCTACGGTGGCTGCTGAGTCACCGCTGCCTGGACCAGGGAACCTGGAGAGGGAGAGAAGAGAGGGGAGAAGACAGGGGTCAATCAGTGTCCTAGGAGCACAGGCCTGCCTGGGCAGCAGGGTGGGGTCCTTGTGCCCAAAGGCCCACTGCAGACACAGTGAGTCTGGCCATGGCACCTGAGCTGTGGGCGAGCAGTGCGAGGAGGAGAAGGGCCCAGGCTAAGGTGCAATCTCACCAGCTCCATGTCCTCACAGTGATGGGGCTGTGCTGTGGGCCTTGGTCCACTTTTAAGCCCCTATCTGACCAGGCACAGGCTCTCTATAGATATGTGGCACCCAATGCTCCCTAGCGCTCCTGTCTCACTGCTCCCTCCACCCACTGCAGGCACCTCTGTCCCACCAAAAGGCAGCAAGATTGGTCTGGGATGCCTGCTCCTTCCTCACCATGCCTGCTGAGCTCTCAGATCAGCCAGGGACCACCCTGACCCTATTCCTGCCCAGTAGGACCATGGCCTTGCTGCACACATTCTGCTTCAAGTGAGGGTTCCACCCTGGGCCTCTCTGAATGGCCACAAGAGAAGTGCAGAGCAGAGAAATGGGGCTTTGAAAGGGAATGGGAACCACACCAAGACCAGGAGCTTCCAGGCTCAACAACACAAAGGAAAATCAAGCCCCACTTCCTCCAAATTCCAAGTGAGCTTAGGGTCCCCAGCAGCTTTGCAGCAGCTGTGTGTAGAGCTGGTCTGGTGTTTGTACCCATCAAGAGCGAGCACGTAGCACCTGCATTCTTGTCCGGCCGGGGGCAGCCCCTCTGCCTCCTGCGCACAGCACGGCCCACGGCAGCCGCCAAAGGAGCCGGCGGGGCTGCTCTGAACCTCGCTGGCACCTGGCTGGCCACAGCCCCTTTGCCTCCCGCCTGGCCCGTGAGCCTCCTGCCTGTGCAGTGGAGCCACACTGACACCGTGTGGGGACAAGAAAGCCTCAGGGACAGCACTGCAGGAACTGAGAGCAGAGCCAGGGACAGGACTCTGCCCTTGCTGCCTCTCACCCCTGCCACGGCTTCCACCAGGTCCAGAGATTGCTCCAGCCCTGGCTACAACCATCAGGGTTTCTGCTTGGCGCCGTGGCCACTCTGTTCCGAAGGGAGAGCCTCTCACACAGACCCAGGGTCCTTTGGCACAGTTGCTGTGGCCAGAGATGAGTGTGCATCAGCCCTGAACTGGCAGGGACGAGCACCACTGTGGATCTCCTGCTGCTATCATAGATGACAGTGACAGGGACATCTGCTGGGAGCAGGCATAGCCACTGCTACTGATCCTGAAAGTCTCTCCCTTGTTGGCTGACACCTCGGAGAGCTGACTCAGAGATGCTGCCTGGACCAGGGAATGTAGAGAGGGAGAGGGGAGAAGAGAGGTGTCAGTCAGTGCCCCAGGACAGCCCTCTCTGACCTGCAGGATGGGGCTGCTGTGCCAAAAAGTCCTGCTGGAACAGAGGGGTCACTGCCTCAGACAGAGCCCGAGGCCTGGGCTCAAGGCCAGGGCTCCATGAAGAGACCTGGCCTTGAGCTAGAGGATGTGGCTGGCAGCAGAATGAGGTGGTGGGGCTGAGGACAGTGCCAGGCACAGCAGAGCCCCAGCTCTCCTCGTTCAGAGCATGAGGCAAGCAGGAGGCCATTCAGAGCCAGTGGTGATGGAGGGGGGATATGAAGCCCACAGGCCTACTCAGCTCTGAGAGAGAGGGCAGAGAAGCTCCATCTTTAAGTCCTCTATACCTCATTTCCACATGTCTCTTTATCACCAACCCAACTGCCACTGCTGCTGTCCTCACTACCACAGTAATAGACAGCCTCGTCCTCGGCTTGGACCCCAGTGATGGTTAACGTGGCCGTGGAGCCGGACTTGGATCCGGAGAATCGCGAAGGGATGCCCGAGGGTCTCTTGGTGTTATCATAGATCACAGTGACAGGGCCACTGCCAGGGACCTTCTGCTGGAACCAGCCATAGCTGTAGCCATAGCTAGCCCCAGAGCAGGTGATCCTGACCGTGTCTCCCACATTGGCTGACATTGAGGATGGCTGAGTCACTGCTGCTGCCTGGACCAGGGAACCTGGAGAGGGAAAAAATAGAATGGGGGGGAAGGAAGTCAGTCAGTGTCCCAGGTACATAGACCTTCTTGGACAAAAATACAGGGAATCCAACAGTCAGACATGGACACGGTCACAGTGATTTGAGAAGCAGAGCCCAGCCAATTGCTGAATGGCTGCGCAAGCAGCTTTGGCAGCACAGAAGGACCTGGCCATCAGTACTAAGTGTCTGTGGGGGACACGGCTATACCATGAGCTGCCAGGAAGGAGAAGGCCTAAATCTTTCCCCTGTTTTTTGAGTATCTGTCACTTTCTGTTACTCACTGTTACCTCACACCATAGCTGCTGCCACTGCTGCCTTCATAGCTACCACAGAAATAGACAGCCTCGTCCTCGGCTTGGACCCCAGTGATGGTTAACGTGCCCGTGGAGCCGGACTTGGATCCGGAGAATCGCGAAGGGATGTCTGAGGGTCTGCTGTTATCCCAATAGATCACAGTGACAGGGCCACTGCCAGGGACCTTCTGCTGGAACCAGGCATAGTAGCCGCTGCTAGTTCCAGAGCAGGTCCTGACAGTGTCTCCCACCTTGGCTGACATCTCACCGCTGCCTGGACCAGGGAACCTGGAGAGGGAGAGAAAAGAGGGGAGAAGATGGGGGTCAGTCAGTGTCCCAGGAGCACAGGCCTGCCTGGACTGCAGAGTGGGGTCCTTGTGCCCAAAGGCCCCATTCTGGCTCAGTAAGTCTGGCCATGGCACCTGAGCTGTGGTGAGCACCATGAGGAGAGGAGGGGCCCAGGCCACAGTGTGATCCCACCAGCTCCATGTCCTCACACTGTGGCACCCAACACCCTCTTATGTGCCTGCCTACCCGACACAAGCTGGCCAGGGGAATGTGGCCTCTCTGCCCTGCAGGCACAATGACTCTGGCCATGGCACCTGAGCTGTGGGTGAGCACTGCAGAGGGGGAAGGGCCCCAGGCTATGGTGCAATCCCACCAGTTCCATGACCTCACACTGATGGGGCTCCTGCCACGGACCTTGACCAGGAGAGCCACTGCTGTCCTGGCCACCACAGAAATAGACAGCCTTGTCCTCGGCTTGGACCCCAGTGATGGTTAACATGCCCATGGAGCCAGATCTGGATCTGGAGAATCGTGAAGGGATGTCCGAGGGTCTCTTATCATTAAGATAGATCACAGTGACAGGGGCAGTGCCAGGGACCTTCTGCTGGTGCCAGCCATAGTTGTTGCTGCTACCAGGGCTGGCGATCTTCACGGTATCACCCATGTTTAATTGCACTGAGTATGGCTGACTCAGTGATCCTGCCTAGGCCAGGCAGCCTAGAGAGGGAGAGGGTTAATACTAGAAGGATCAATTATTTCTCCCCAGGAACACAGCACTGCCCAGGCAGTGTGAAAGTCCACTGTGCCCAATGGATCTGATGCCACATTGGGAAAAACAGCCTCAAGACAGAGAGGAAGATTAGTGACCCATGGCCCTGGAAGGAGCGCTGGCAGCAGCAGAGCAGTAGAGGATCACCCTCTGAGGGCAAGGGACCTGGTCATGGGTACAGAAACATGAGGGAATCAGGGCC